ACAGGGAACCTCTGGCAGAGTCACCAAGGGGACAGAGAGAGGAAGGGTCTGAGGCCGAGGAGAGGGTCCTGAGCTGGGTCTGGAGCTGACGGGGTCACAGAGGCACAGCTGTCCTGCCCCTGATTTGCTGACTGTTGTCTCTGGGTGTCCCTGAGTCCCCTTGTGTAGACACCATGTGTGTCCTGTGGCACCTGCAGCATGAACTGATTTTATCATGCTGGGTGGTGTCATGTGTGTGGAGGGCATTACATCCTCAGGATTAAACAGTAGGATTCAGTGGAACTGCTCTGGGCTGTGACCCTTACAAATCTGCTCATTGAGCACATCTGCTGCCCCCAAATACCTACCTGGGTGCATGGTCCCAGTCCATTTCCCTGAGACAAAACCCTGTTCACTATTACCCCATAGGTGGCATCACATGATGGTGAGCCCAGAGCAGGGAGGAATCCCCTCCCACCTCAGAACACAGGTCAGGAGAGTCCTTCCCTGAGGGTCTGCCTGGAGGAGGTCTCAGGGATTTCTCAGGGGCCAGTCCTGTCCCCTGGTCAGAGCCATGAGGGGGTGTGTGGATCCCATCTGAGAACCTGGAGGCACTGGAGGGAAGGCTCACACCAGGGTGGGTGGGGCCCAGGCGCTGTCCTCCCTGTACCAGAGCCCCCTGTGCCCCCACCGTGCATGACCGTCCCCTGAAAGGGCTCCTGCTCCTTGTGCTCCTGCAGCTTCTGTTCCAGGGGAGCAGATCACTCTGTGCCCTGGGAGGAGCATCGGAGAAAATCCACTAACCTCAGTAAAGGGGTTTTATTGGGAATGTTAAGTAGCAGTGCTGATGGGGAAACCCGGAGAGTGTGTTCGGCTCCCGGCTCACCAGGGTCACCCTCTGCTCTGGCTGCTGTAATGAAGACCCACAGACTGGGTGGCTGATAACAGCACATATTTATTTCTCACAGCTGTGGGTTCTGGGATCCTGAGATCAGGTGCCAGCAATTTGGGTTCTCTGGGGAGAACCTCCTTCCTGGGGGCCTGTCCCTCCTGTGACCTCACGTGGAAGAAGGGAACATGGAGCCTCCTCAGTGCTGTTTCACGAGGTCCCGGACCCCACTCTTGGGGCTCCACCTCCTGACCTCAGTGCTTCCCAAACACCCCATCACCTAACCCATCACTATGGGCATTAGGATTCAAGATGTGAAATTTTGGGGTGAAACAAACTTCAGCTCATTGGGGTGAAACTAAAGCATCAATTTAAATTTTCAACACCTAGAAGTCTACTGCCACACATCCCCTCAAGCTGGGCTATTAGAAAACTCTGACTTTTTTATGAACATGGCTTATGCAGGACCTTGAGGACAAGGTCATGACCCTGAGCAATAGACA